TGTCTCTCACCAATCCCGCGTTTGTAGCGACAGCCACGACAGCGACGGCGGTCCAGACCATCTGCCACGTCCCGATGTCCTGCGCCCCTCTCGGGAACGGTCTTCGGTGCTCGTACAGGATCTTGGTGGCGTCTACTCGGACCTCCACGTAGTTGGAGATCCACGCCAGCAGCTGGCCCGGGGGGGGGGGGAGGGAAGGGGATGATTTACCCGACCCCAAAAAGGACGGAATAAAAAGGGTGTTGAAAGGGCGGAGGGATGACAAGAAGGGTGTAAGGACCAAAAAGGGTGGTGAGGACGGAGAGAGTGCGAAAGATATGGAGGAATGCAAGCAACCGGAGGAAGCGTTCAAAGCGGCAGGGAGTAGTGCCCGGGGGGGGACGCCGTGATGGTTACGAGTGCTGCTGCTACGGAGCTGTGTTTCCGAGAACGCGACCGCAGCCCGCGAGGCAGCAGCTTCTCCCATCCTCGCCGAAGCTTGGCGTAAGTGATCCAAGCATGACTAGCGGCCATGGTCACAATCGCCACCGATTTGCGAGCACCAGCAGTACCCACCGACGCTGCTACAGTGCATCGTTCCACGAGAATGACGACATCAACATCCTGAAAACCGCAACATAAGCACAAACAACAACAGCAGCAACCGCGACAACAACGCCGACAACGACAACAACAACGACAGCAACAACAACGGCATCACCACCACCACCAATAACAACAACAACAACAACGACAGCAACGGCACCAATGAAACCACACACAGGTGTCCATCCGTCTCACCGGAGCAATGGGGAACGACACCACGAAGAGGGTCACGTAGCCGAACTGGATGGTGATCTCGCTCATGTCCCCCAGCGGCCCCATCATCTCGTCGTACGTCTCCAGCACGTACTCCGCCTCCGCCTCCGTGAACACAGCATCCTCCGATGTGCCCTCCTTTTCCTGCGGGGGCCGGACCCGAGGGAGCAAGGGGGGGGGGGGGGGGGGGTCACCCACCCGTCCCCCAATGGGAAAAAGGGGGGGGCGGAAACGTGGGGGGGGGAACAAAACAAAAAAGAAGGGGACCCCCAGTTGCCCAAATAAACAAAACGGGGCCCCGGTCCCCCCCCCCCCCCCTTTCCTCCGGTTGGAATACACCTTCCCCGGGCGCCGCCGGGGGCCCCTACCAAGGGGGCCCGGGGGAAAAAAAGGTGGAAAAAAAAAAACGGGGGAAAAAAAAAAAAAAATAACCTGGTTGAGGGAATCACAAAGGGAAGGGGCTTGTTTAAAAAAGTGGGGGCCAAGGGATGAAAACCCAAACCCGGAGGGAAAACACGGGGGGGGGGGTCGTTTTACAACGTCGTTGCCAAGCGACGAAAACCCAACCCCGATGGCAAACACCAGGGGGGGGTTATTCTTGTCCGGCCTAGTATGCATGCTCCTCTCCTCTGGGTGATGTTTGGCACATGTTGGCTCTGTTTTATGCTGGGTTTCGTGTCCATCAGAAGCGGGGTAGACCGACAATAGACCGCAGACAAGTAATAGTACGCATGTATGGATGCAACACTCGTGCCTGCCCCTTTTCTTTCTGCCCATGACGAGAGAGAGATTTTCAAGTCCGAGAGCTCAAGTCCAAAGCCAACCCACGCTCTAGACCGGCGCTGCCATGTTTCTTGCTGATTCAGCTCCGCGTCCTTCGTTCTTATTGCGCCGCTTTTTTTTCTCTTGTGACGCGTCTCGGCGACGACGGCGGCGTTGGGAGTGCAGACTCGGGCGGGGGCGGGTTCAAGCGATACTTCGAGGAGATCGCGATAGTGCTCAAGAGACACTTTCCGGACGTGCTCATCGACAGAGAAATCGTTGAGGTGGGGGGCATGGGAATAACGAGTGTTGCTGGCTGGGAAGTAGACAGGTACAACTTTCTTCTCGCCGACACAGACCGCTTGGCAGTGTCGTGTCTGTTTTTGGGAGCCCGGTAAAACCGACATGGGCGAAATTCTTCTCTAGCGCTGCTGGGTGTTTGGCCTTTGGATGCCTCACTTTGGAGCTTCACACTCCCTTTTTGCCTCGCAAAAGGTTGGTTGGAGCACTTCCGAAGCGCTTTTTTTTTTGCGCATGCTCCACCATGTCGCGGGACTCGAAGTTTCTGTCAACAATACCCGAGATCGTAATCGCTTACCGCTGTAGGTGAGCTCGACGCGCGAGGAAGAGGTTTTCGAGATCAGAATCGACGGGAAGCTGGTGTGCGCGAAGCGAAGAGGAAAGCCGGGAGTGTTTTTGCACATGGAGACGTTTGCACAGGTGCGCCCCCCCCCCCCCCCCCCCCCAAACCCTCCCCCATTCCCT